TAGGATTGCCTCCTACCTGGTGGGCTATTTCCCAATATTCTTAGCCCAAGGGTTGTGGGAGATTTGGTATCGAACCTATATCAAACCACTGGCAAATATTCACAGAAACTGGTCGATTGTTTCAGTGACGGCGGCCGTAAAGTCGGAACAATTGGTGGACACAAATATTGGATAATAAAAGTGGGCGGTCTCCACTCAGATATTATGGCTTATACTTTGGAACAAAGCAGTCGGTACGTTGTGCCCAGTAACAGAACAGGTTTTATACTAATAGACACCAAGAGGCGTTAATAAAAAAAGTGATGATGTTTTGCAAAGAAACGAAAAGTTCACATACCCAACCAAACGTTCCAGTTAAGGTTTGAAAATTTCTTGGATAGCTGGTTGCCAAAATATTGGCATCCGCACTGGGCAATTTTATTCGCTATGAATGCGTGTAGCAATACTTGTCGGTTTAGCATAAAGTCACTGGCGTGGACACAAAGATTGAACATGCACATCTAGATATCTCATTTTCTCTTTCCAAACGGTAGTGCTTTTGTTGCGTAAACGCTGCATTGTATTTAGACCACAGCCATCACGCGAACAGTGCCTCGTGATCGGTCTATAGTATAAAAAGATTTTTCTGTAGTACACAGCGTGAATACGCTGATCCACCAGCTTTGGCTGAGAAAGTCGCAAGCTCGTATAGCGGTTGATTTTGTTCAGGCAATGTCAACTGTAACAGGGATCGCTTAGAATTCAGTAGAACTATGCGAAACAACGGCAAGACTGTTGGCACCCTCAAGGGCGTACGAAGCCCCATGTATCCTCTACACAGAATGCTGTTTCTTCGGATGGAACAAGTATAGAGTTTTCTTGTGTATGCCGCCCACAGAACAAAGCATTGTGTTTAATATTTTTATAATCTTATTCACAGAACATTTTACCTATGAACAAGTAACAGCACGGTCGCATTGAGAATGTGTGTAAATAGTAGAAAAACAAGCGTATGACTGGACCGTTGCAGATTCGCTTATGCGAACACACGGGAGTATCATGGGAGTTTACGTTGTTCATACAGAAACCACTGTAATCAGACAGAGTCAGGTGACCATCGACATCCAGGTTATGACCGAGTGACCGCTTTTTTTCTCTGTGGGGACGGCCACTGATACACTTCCGAAACTTTGGCTTGATCCTGTAAGTAACCAGTTGATCCTGTGTATTATAATTAGTTTTAGTGGCCATAACCTCTATCTAAACTCACCTATTATTCATTTACAAGCGTTAATGTGTCCAGGTTGGTCATTATAATCTAGCTTGATTGGCGGCTTAAGCTTGGAAAGCTGTTTCTGGGAGGCGGCACATATCCTTCTGCATGCTAGCAGCGTGTAAGTAAGTGAAGGACGGTCCTAGACCTATTTTAGCAGACTATCTATGCTTTTTACTGATATCCGTAAATGTCTGTGCGTCTGAGTGGGTGGATTGTCGGAAATAATGTGTTACTTAACAAACTGCTTTTGATCTTACGAGTTTAAATCAGTCGTCTAAGTGAACACCATGGCCAATGGCTTGTGGTGTTTGGCAGTGAGAAATGTCGTGATCCATTTTACCATAGATACTGCGTATTTGTGACTGCTGATTCTTTTTTAATGTAGCCTGACATATCTATGGCCCGGCAACCAAGTTCAGACATTGTTGCCCGTTCACTGTTGAAGTTCTAGTCCGGAAGGGGTTTCACTAACTATTGAGTGATAATGACTTACACGTCCTTGTTTCTTGTGTCACACTTAGACTGCAATTTTGGATGACGCTATCACTACAGCTGTAAGACATACGTGCCTTACAAATCTGATTGAAATCTTTTGCAAGTAATGTAAAATACTCCAACCTCAGCCACTGAACTTTACCATCACATTGAGAGCTTTCTGCTCCAGCATCGTAGCTGCGTGTACTCATCTGCTGGAGTTACTCTTGTTAAGTTGTGTACAGCCAATCCCATTGTTATCGCCAGTGGTCAATTTTTGAGAGAGTGATCTTCTTCCTGCATCTGGGATTATCGTAAGCAAGCTCCAAAGCCGCATGGATAGAATTCTTGTCTGTCTAAAGTGAGAGTATTCTCGTGAACAGCCTATCGACTAACTACCAGAATTAAATACAAGCCTTTCAGATCATAGAATTAGAGTTCAGCAGAATGAAGTTCCAGCACGTCATGTTGTGGTGTTTTTCAACTTCAGAGCCACTCATATCAGATTAGGCAAGTGTTCGAGGCTAGAAATACTCAGCTTCCCGGCAAGTCAGGATGGGGGTTGGAGTAAAAGTGGCCCTTTACTGAGTAAACAGATTCCTTGTAGCCCACTGCTGGTCATCTGCGTAACTTACTGTAAAACGATGAATAAAGTACTTATGGAGTGCAAAGATGCTTGGCATAAATCGTTTAAAAAAGCAAGCAGCAAGCTCTTGTCAAGCTATTTATGTGACAATCTTGCATACAGTCACTATAGTTATATGGTAAATGTTCAAAACTTCTTAGTAGCGCAGGGACGTGCAAAAGAAATTATACAGATGACATAATAGTAATAGGCGCCTGACAAAGGGATACACAGTTAATTCGTTATGCCACTGAACTCATAATCGCACTGACGATTTTGTGGCAATTTCGCGCCTTTTATGGAGCGAACGAAACATTCAAGTGGGTGGGCTTATGATTTTGAAAATATTAGCGGCAGTTAACTAATTTAAAATCTCGGGTTTCTTCCACAATTTCCTTTATACAAATATTTTGCCCCTCAAATGCGGTCTAATAGAACCACGCATTCCAATTAGTTGAAATCTACGCTAACAAGTAGCTTTGGTTTCTCAATGACAAAAATTCATAGATACGTATCCGTGATGACCTCATGAACACCAGATACTCTTATGAGTTGCCGAGAGGAAGTTTTGCTCGTACGCTGTGTAAAGCAATGTAGAATTATCAGCCATAAATGAGTTTAGCTCTAAGCCATGCACTGATGAATCTGACGCATAAGTGTTGTGTCAATGAATGAATTTCGTCGGTTCACTTTTCAAACTAATTGTACCGAATATAAGGTAGCAAGGAACCATTGTCAAACGGTGACACCTTAGCAACAGACTTAATCTCGCCCTACCGGTTACAAACAACCCCTTGCTTGTTTGTCACTTTTAATGTAACCAAAACACTTCTAATTCCCACGGATGCTAACCTGTAATATTTCGAAAAAGGTAAACCGTAATAAACCAACTAAAATAGACGAGCAAATGTAAACGATAAATCTAGGGTCACCCGGATAGTAAATAAAACAGTTGGTACCAACACGATTACTTCGCTTAATTAGAGAGAAACGAAAGCATTTAATAAATATATGAACTGGCAAATATCAGCGAAGTGACCGCTAAACACCTCGATCCATCCAATGCATATGTTAACTAATAGTAACTGATCATCGGATGTATAGAACAAGTAGTTCATGATGATTCATTTGAAACATTCTTAAATTGGCATAATATAAATTACAAAATCTTTCGCTTGTTGGTATCCTGCTACAATTTCCTATCAGCTTCTTTTTTATGTCACCAGGCATAATACCGCAGACTGTGCTAGCAAAGCCAAACAAAACGCACAGTAAAGTATACTAAATGGCAGTATTTGTGACAAAATTTTGTTTTTTGAGGATTTTATAATCATATACATAGTTTGGTTAGATCACCCAAGAATTTCTTAGGGTCGTTTAATATGATGGCGATAGAACTATAAAGCGCAATTCTGAATTACTTGTTGACATCCTACTAGTGAATTTTGCAACCAAAACAACGTGGCAAAATGTTAATTTTTGTTTTTAAACGTGTTTAACACAGCAATATTCAAACATTGAATTCCTTGACATGTTGATGTGCCTCGCAGCGCAGTCATCCTGCGTCTGTCACACACCCTATTTATTAGTCATGAGAATGCAAAATGATTCAGGAACCAGCCACTTTACGCGCTTAAATGAAACCGTTATTGTAAATAAACTTCAAAAGGTTGTGTCCGTAACTGGAAGATTCGATGGTAAACGTCCTGCATGTGCATAACCAATTGCAATTTGAAGTGCAAATATATCCAGGCTTTATATGGCTATTCTATAAAGTAATATTATACATTTCACGGACCATTGTAGGAGCTTTAAATTCAAAAATAAAGGTTATTCTGCTTATAGTATAAATTACAAACACGAAACGGCAAAAGCACCAAATTTTAATTTATTTAATCAAAAATTGCGCTTTCATACGCACAGAAATGGTAAATTTTTAAGTTAAACATTGCTTGCGAGATACGTCGATGCAACATATGGTTGGCTACACTTTCCGCATAAGTGCCGACATTATGAAGGTAAATACCCATAATATTTCATTGGCTAAGCGGTATTGAAAGAAATAGTGTCGGTTTCGTTAACTAATACCGTTACAGTTTCTTCTAGTAAGCTTTCTGCATTTCCAAACAGTATTATTAAAAGCAGGTTTGTATGGTTTTGTTGCCTACTCATATTTCCAACTTCCAATTTGTAAAGCCGTTACTAGGTGCGCAACCACCCTATATAAAGTCGGTAGTAAATTAGTTATCTGTACGACTGCCTTCGTCTTCAGTCAAACATGATGTCTACTTTGATTATTTGCACCGAACGTTTGTAGCCTTGCCTCAGTTTTCACAACAGTTTGTAAGCAAGTTTTGGAGGTACTACAAAAACAAAACACATCCATCCATCTATGCTACTCAAAAAAGGAATCTATTTAACCAGTTACTGTGTGGCCTAACTAGTGCGTGATAAATCCAGCCAACAATTCTCACAAAGTGCTAAAAACTAATAACAACATGATCCTCATTGAATAGCAAAATAATAAAGATGGCTTGATTAAGATTGCAAAGAGGCAAACACTGTAGGCTCTATTGAGGCTTTCTACATGAACTGTTTATCTCAGTCAGATTCATAGAATATATATAAAGACCAACAAAAACTCACTGTCAAATTTTCTTAAGGATATAGGGTCGAACGCTATTGAAAATCCTCTCCGTCCAAAGGATAACTGGCGTTCGTATCTATCTTCACTTCTGTCTAATTTTTTGATATAAGCATTGCCATTGCGTTTTGACCCCACGAATTTTACCACGTCCTGATTGTTAGTAGAAAGCCCGATGCTTGGTATCTCTTCATCTTGTTTGAGTGCATCTGCTCGAGAGTAGTGGCTGGAGAAAAACGGTTGGTAAAATGGTAAACTATCTGATTCTTGGATAAATTTAAAAACCGGTTCGTCAAACAAGAAAGCGTTAGTCATATTTCCACCGTACGCGCTGTTCCGCTTTCTAATGATTGCATATTTGGGTGGGTTGGTAAAGTCGTGGTCTGGAACTCGCAGGCCGCACATCTCCTCTGGATCTTCATGAAGTTTTGTCCCACTGGTATGAAATAAAACAAGCGTAGTAAGCAAGTATCAAGCCAATATAATATGAAGACAAAATTTCTATGTAAACTGAGTCGAATTAAAAGTAAAGCAAAAACTGCGAAGGCTACATAACCGTTATATTCCAAATTGGCTGAAGATCCACTTGCGCAGTTAGTTAAGCAAATACAAATATACATGGATCTAGCAGACAGTGGATTACGTACCTGTACTATTTAAAGGACAAAATAAACACCTCGTAAACAATTATCACAATAGACTGGATTACACTAAAGTATTATAAACTAGAAATGCGTGAACAATATTGCATTTTTCACAATATAAGGTAGTTATCGCTATAGACGCGTAGTTTACATATTCTAAAAAGTGGGAACAACGACCAGATTTGCCGCTGCAGCTAGACAAGAATCGCTTACAACATTGCTCAAATAGCCTACATGGATCACCAAAAGGGCTAAGGATATGCTACCTAAGCACCGAACAGGATAGGTATGAAGGTTTATCTGAAGTTATTAGTTTAGTAGCAGTGTCAATAGTGCTCAGGCAGTGGCGAAGCTGCCTTATGCATGGAACATGAGGTATAAGAGTGAGGCTCGGTTTGTAAAACCAACTGTGTAGGTTAGAACTAGTAGTCTATGATAATAAGCGTGCACATAAACGTAACCCGGCTGGTGTTATGTCTGAAGATAGCAGAACAATATACCATTGCATCGCATTAAAAATACACTGATGAATAAGGGAGCATAAGTCAAATTCGGTGCAAATCAAGGTCTTAAACAGCCGCACATGAAAATACAGTAGCATTCGAACTGTTTGCATTGATCCTGTTTTTGAGTTAAGCGGATGGGTGCAACTGACTGAACAAGTAAGTGAGTGAAAAATACAGTCGCGGTCTTCTAGAGCAAAAGATACGCCACGCGCAGTGTTTTGTCAGCTAATGGAAGCATTCTAGCGAAATATGGATGGTGGTGCACTTGCAGAAGTGAAAAAGGATGGCAGAAATGCTGCTTCCAGTAGGAAAGACTCCACGCTGTCGGTCAAGGATCAGGCGGTAAAGATTTAAGTAACCAGGGGCAGAGCCTCACTATTGTGATTACAAAGTAGTTAGAAATCAGTGTACACTGAAGGAACGCAAGAAACTGAAGTGGTATGAGCGTCAATTGGTGGAACTATTCCGTGATAGCCCGAAAATACATTCTCACACCTGGAAAAATATACTAAGACGGGTTGTGGCATACCTGCTTTACATTCACGAAAGGATAAAGCTATACTTCAAGACAAGGTCACTCACTGATTTAATGTATAAATGACATACTGCGTACCTTGTGCATGCTTAAAGAATTGCTTTATCTAGTTTCATTATATTTCGCCTAACACAAAAATTTATGTCTAGCCTTACGATTTTTGCTTTTTGCTACCGTATTCATTGGTTTCATTTTGCCCTGTTTAACCGAATACGCTTGTCTTATTTACACATTTATAAGGAGATCGATTTGGCTGCTTTGGCCATCTGGAGGAAGAAAACGAAAACGCGTTACTGTAAACTGGATAATGGTTGGAAAACGCAAACTCTTACAGGAGACAAACTGCAACATAGCACTTAACTTGCGGGCGTTGCCTTCTGGCTGTTTGGAATCCCACAGCTACAACACACGTGATAAACAACACATGTAAACCTCACACATGAGCATGATGCTTCTGTACATTTTGATCTGGCGCTCTCCGGTTCAGTCACTCACAGACGAGAACATAAACTTCCACTCCACGAACGTTTGCTGGAATCATAGTGTATATCATTGTATTCAGCTTAGAACCCGCTATCCAGTAAGTGTAATCCCATACCTCCCACTATGTTGGAGCACATCAAATTACCACAAATATTGTGTTTGGGTTTCTTCGCCAATTGGATCCAAACCTCATGCCTGACCCTGATGATTCGCGTCTGTTTTGATAGATCTGTAAGCAGAGCTAAATTTGGGAAGCCTCTGTCTCAATGCGATCGATCAGGCGAGCGATTAAGTAGGCCAGTAAGTTTTAACTAATACAGACACTTGCACTTTTCCTCCTACTTGTGTATCGAACTTTGTGTGCAGACAGAGTGTAAATTCTTTTCCTTGACGCGACTGGAAGTGGCAGAAAGCAGAGGTATAGAAGTAGCGTTTACCACAGTGGTACCAGGAGTCAGAAGGGCCCAAAGATGTCAGTCAGTTTTGATTAAATGTAGGCACCTTTGCAGTAGCAGCAGGCCCAGTTCGAAACGTCACAGAGGCAGCTGATCGAACTAGTATCACAAAAATTAAGCATTCAAGTAGAATAAGAACTGGAACAGTAGTGACATCGCAAGAAATTGATTCAGTATGCCAGAGGATGATCAACTTGCATCCTGATACAAATGTGGTTGCAAATTCGGTAGCAAGCGAAGCGCAACACTTCTGCCATCCTTCCACTTCAAAATCAGATGTGCCCAGCAGACCTGATGATGAGGCGGTAGAAATCAATGGAAGTCGGATTACACAGGCGAATAGACGCCACGAAACAATACTCCAATCTGGTACAGAAGGTTGCAGAATCCACAGTGCTGCCCTAAACCTTAAGTCAGTCACCAAATCAGTATCCAGAGCAAAGCGCCTTGGGACAAGCAGAAAAGAACCATTGGTTATCATGCTGGGGAAAAGCGGACAGACCGCGTGCATCATTTCAAAACTGCGAACCTGGTGTACGCACTAGACTTCTGAGGACCGAGGAGGCGCTCGACTGGAAGAATGATCCACAGAAACCTTTGGGTCATCTACGAGCTAATGGTAGGAAGGGAGAAATGGGTCAAATAGACGAATCAGCTGATGCCGAATCACGGAAAGATACAAACTCTCCAAGAACCGCCATCTTTACCATGGGACATCCTGCTAGACAAGTTTTGTTTAAAAGACGAAGCTAGGCGGTTACGTGGATCAAGATATAAGATGCAAGCAGCAGGTGACTCACAATACAGGCCGAACCGAAAGCTGAGACGACCACCATGGCTACAGATTGATCCCCAAAGCGGAACACAGCCGGTCAATCAGGCACCACACGACCTGTCATGCAGATCAGGTCGAAGAGGAAGTCAACCGCGATATCAACAGGTTAACCCCAGGGTAAAAAGCTACGATCAAACCGTGTGGTAAATAGGTAGTAACAATTAATTTGAAGGGTGAGGTAATAGAGGTAAGCGGAGCTGAATTTGGGAGGTGTCTGCCTCAGTGCAATCTATCACGCGATCGGCCGAGTAGGCCAGTGAGGTTTAAAAACAGAGCTGGTTGTACTTTTCGTCATGCTTTTAAATAGAACGTTGGTGTGCAGAGCGGATGTTTTTTCGCTTGACGCGGGTGGGAGTGACAAAGAGCCGAGGTAAAGAACCAGTGTTACAGCATGTTGTTTCCAAAGATAGTATCCGGGCGCGGCGCAGAGCCAATTGCATGTTCAATCCCTTGAAGTTGGTCGCCTCTTACTTTATTAAAAAGTAGGTCTGATGAAGTCTACCTACAAATGATGAAGCGACAAGAATCTGGGAAATACCGGCTGATATGCTTAAAGTAGATCATTTGCAAGGCTACAAAATAGATATAAATGGGCGTTTCGGTTTCCTTTTAGTGCTCCGCACAGCATTATTCTCTCGCAGCAATCTCAAAAAGCATGCTATTGTATCACCAAATTGCATGCTGGCTGCGAGAAGTGTGTAGGTCACTGAATATCTAAATCAAATTGATGTTGTTTTTGTTGGCTTCAACAAAGCGTTCGATAGGTTTGTACACCAACGGCTCCTTACCGAGCACCGGGAGATTAGCACTGTTGACAATGTTTTCTCCCGCATTGTTAATTTCCTAGATGGCCGTACTATGACGGAAAAGGTTGATGAGGTTCCTTTTGGGTCTGTTCTCATGACCACTGGTATTCCACAGAACTCCATCCTTGGTCATAAACTTTTTGTAAACTTCATCAGCGATCATCCGGCGATGCTATAAGCTAACTACATTACCTAGAGTGATCAATCCTAACTGTGATCATATATCTTGTTTTAAGGTTACTGGCAAATCGCCTATGACGCTGGAGTTGCCACATGATTAAGTTATTAGACGGCATTTGCCTGGCGACCGCGATAATTGCTGTGTGCTCCTGAACGGTGCTCCATAAATTTTCGGCACCCATATCGGTAGCTTCCTGCTGAGCAACGCGACTTGTAAGAAGAAAGTAAGTGCAAAATTGTATCCCAGTACCTAAAGATAACCGCGGACACGCTGCGGAAAGTTATTTCTGCCAAAAGGATGCTCCACGCTGTACGAAGGCCATTCTGTAAAATGAAACCTAAGATCTTCTGGCTTCTACTGCCCTCCCATGTTCACACCAAAATTCAATACGGATTACCTATCATATATATTCTCGCACTAAGTTTGTGCGAGCATTGACCGAGAACGTTCAGCGACATGGATCAAATTCCTTTTTGGTACTGAGTGATTTATTTTACCAGCTTAGACATCAGCGTGTGCATTTGCCCATTCTGGACTACCGTCGTCGGCGTGGGGTCCGATCTACCCTAGACGCATTTTAGGGAGAGAAGTGTGTAAAAGGTTGCAATCGTTCATCAGGCTTAAAATAGATATCTGGACATGAGGCACATTCGGAAACAGTTTGGACCGCGGTGGCCCCACGTTTGCTCTGAGGACAAGCTATCCACTCGGGTAGTGAATAGATAAAACAACTTCCCGGACTGCGCTGTCAGCGTCCAGACAGAGTATTGTTTCAAGCATCAGTTAATAATATCGCTTCTGCTATTTGGTTGCACCTTTAACAGTCCTTCATGGAACAGCATTTGCCATCGACACTCATCCTTCAGCCAAGAAAGAAGTGGTGATGGAGATGACAAGGGGTTTTCTCTCTGCTCTCTGTAACTCTGAATCTCCAGTATGTCGTCTATATAAGTGCCCTATTCTCGGTGCGATCGTGTTGCAAGAATTATTCGTTAGGTGAACGCAAAAACGTCTGTGGTACTAGCAATGACCGGCCTGTGTCCTCCACAATGAAACGAATTTGCATCACTCCAAAATCCTTTTCGGCCAAGACTCAACAATTGCAGTGACCAGAATAGCTCTGGATGAATTTCTAGCCGCACCGGAAAAACAACCCCCTAAGCGTCATAGTCTTGCGCATAAGAACTAATCTGCAAATTTTTTCGGCCTTCTAGGTATGTCGGTAAGTTTTCACAATAAGACGGCCAGGAAAACATGGTATACATGCATTAACAATGTGATATATTATGTTATGCTGCAGTCAGATATACTACTTTTATCAAATGTTAAACTTAGTTTTTATAGTAGAGCGAAATCGGTAAATGAAACGATTGGCACTCCATCTCCGCATCGACTGGGAAGTGACGCAGCTGACAAAGGATATTCCATCTGTTTACTATCATCCAATGTTTCAACAATATATATATATATGCAAAGGGCTCTGGAGGAAACTTACTAGTGTAATACAGTTCTGACAATACACTGAACTCGAACATCCTCCCAGTCGAGAACATTATTCTTCAACAAAACTAGGACACTCCCTAATTTTAGGAGTTGTTCCCAGCTCAATCTTTCCTTCTTTATTGGGTTTGCTCGATAATCGATGCACCTTCCAAATAGACCGTCTGAAATTAACCCGTTAAAAATCAGCGAAACCTTTAAGGCATATCTCGCCAGAAAAGCAAACGTTTTGAAATAGGCAACCTGTAATAATAAGTAACGTTTGCTTACAAAACATACCGACATAGCCTCTTAATAAGAAGTTGGTATCAACCTGTACCTCTCTACGAGCTGTAGCGGAGCGCCCACGTTTGGAGAATGTCAAAGCAACTGACAGTAGGATGAGCCATAACCTGATGTCAGGCATGGGAAGATCAACGCATAATTGACCTTGAAATAATACTGGCGATGAATTGGCAGCAGTTAAAGTTCATTTCGCCCTATTAATTATAAGATGCCGGTCCACGTTTAAATTAAAAGTGGCTCTTAGTTCACCACTATTTTAGCTTTTCTCTTAATATACATATACAACAATGTATTTTATTGTTTTGCGCTTTGCATTCTTATGGTGGACTTATGCGACTAACTTCGGAGCGCCGGATACGCCACTTGCGACCAATGATCTTTCCACAGTGTGATTGTGGTACACAAGGTTGTATGTTGATAGATGAAAGTTTTGGGCCTTCCGAAGCACCTGTGTGTTTAGTATTATGTTAACATCCTTGTTAATATGCTGAGAGGTGGATTAGAAACCAATAAAGTGATCTGTTAAAATGGGTTACGGTGGTTAATCATTTACCCGCTTCTGGCGAAAGCAGCCAAGTTTGGGATAACTGTTGTGCATTCCGGGGTATCTTCAAGCTTCCATATGTGGACTTTTCGTCGATGAATGAGAATCTGAAACTTATTCGGATGGAAAAGGCGACATCGTTCATTCGTGGGATCGTTAATACTGCGGAAGCTTACCAATGGGAGACTGGACAGGTGCTACCGGAATGATGCCAGTACCTATATATTCAGTTTGTGTGCGTGCACAGTAAGCGATCGAATGTTGCTGGAAATCGGTGTGTATGGCGTATCCACCTGATGAATATATTTTAACAGGTACCTGTGTAACAATTGCCCTGCGCGATTCTCAGCGGTTTGTTAGGGGGAATGTTGCGAGATTGGAAACGCCTGTCTTTGGCATTCGCACAGTTTCCACGTGGAGATGCCTTAGCTGTAAGGCGGAAATCAACGGCTACCAGCGGATCAGGGAAGCATGGTACTTAACTTAATGAAGACCTTTCGTCGCACGCAGGAGATGCATGCATTTGTTCGTCTTCAATTTAACATTCGTTTAACGAGGCGCGATTTGTATGACATACAGCGGCGTCATGGTAACGCTTGTGTCACGGAAGTGGAGGAGGTTACGCAGCTGTTGCGAACAAATGGTCAGGAAAGTGACTAGATTGGGTAACGTCCCAGTTAACGCCGCAAACCCTCGACCGTGCTTACTTCGTGTAGTCCTTTCCACCCCCGGAGGAACGCAACGCGCTGTTGCGGTTTGCCTTCAAATGGAAGGGTGCTAATGTTAGCGTTCAGCCAGACCTCCCATTAGCGGATAGGCTGAAGCTAAAAGTGGCCTTTAATGACCTCAAAACCAGGCGAGCGGCCGGTGAACAAGGTCACCGGTTGCTGGATATTCCAGTGGTCAGCCGGCGGTCTGTTTCCGACCTACCAGTGCCAGCACTGGTAGCGCAAGACCCGGTGGTAGACATTAAGAGGACCTGCAGGTAAAGCTAAGCAATGTGCGCAGCCTAAGGAACAAGATGTGCGAGGTAGTTCTGCTTGGTGGAGGGTCTCATCCTCATATACCAGCATTCACTGAAACGTGGCTGTCTCGGGACATCACGGACGGTGAAGTACATCTATCTAGCTACGCGCTATGTAGGCGTGCTGGCTTCGTTGGCCGATAAGGCGGGGGAGTTGGGGTTTACCTTATTTATGGACTTGACGGTTTACGCACCTACATGTTTCAATCGGCAGATAAAACTGTGGAGGCTCTGTCGGTATTGAATAGCACTTCCTCAGCTCAACTTACAGTTATACTAATGTACAGAATCTCTGGGAGTGCGTCCAAAGTTGTCCTTGCATTTACTCGCTCCCAGTCCGCAAACGGGTGTTTGACACTGGTGGATCTCAACCTACCAGAAGTTTGCTGGGCAGATCTTTCTTGAAACTCGGCGGAATGTACTTTCGGTGCAGATGTCCTTCAGCTTACGCTACAAGTACCGTTGCATCAGTTGTTGGACCTCCCCACTGGTCACACGGATGCACAACTACCGCCTGTCCTGGATCTAGTTTTTGCCAGGTCAATAGACTTCGTAGGTGACATCACGTCTCTTCCTTAGGTGTCAGTGAGCATGTTTGTTTATCCGTCAGGTGTAATCTGACCAGGCGTCACCAGAGCACCGCTAAGCCATTTCGAAACATAGGGATTAGAAAACTGGTGACAAAATCTTTGGAAGGTCACCTGAATAGATTTAATCTACTCAGTGTTGCACAACACGGGTTCCGGAAGGGGTTTTCGTGTTTGACGAATTAGTTGGTTGCTCCTGAAGCTTGGGCCGAGGTAATGAACAATGGCCACGTGGTGGATATGCTTTTCGTAGGCTTCTCGAAAGCACTTGATAAGATACCGCACTTGAGGCTATCACAAAAGCTGAACTCCTATTGCGTATCTGTCGGCGCCCTTCACTGGGTATCTGCTCTCTTGTAGGGAAGAGACCAGTGTTTAAGTGTGGGTCGCAGGTTATTCTTTCGGCAAGCAGTCCGCAGCGGTGTCCCACAGGGCTTGTACAAATGCTGTTCTCCATCTACGTAAACGATCTCCCTGGTGAGCTTGGGAAATCATATACCTATAGTTTGCTGATGACCTTAAGCTATCGAATGATGTAAATGTTTCTGGGTGTTATGAGCCCCTACGGTACGACCTGGACAGACTCCGGGATTTGTCTACTTTGTGGCTACTGCCCGCTCATCGGGTTAAGTGTTCCATCCCTCGTATAGAAGCAACTTTCCGGCCTTCGAGCTACGTACTCTGTGGGGTTGAACTCCCCTTGTTTCCAACCAGGTAGACCTAGGCGTCGTCCATTCCTCGTCTTAGCAGGCTGGTGACTACTGGAAGAAGGCTGCTAGTCGGGATTTCAGCATGTTGTGGCTAATACGCCATTCTTTCGGGGTATTAATTGCCGACATATTTGTGAAGCTGTTCTCAGCTTTCTTCCAGTCCCATCTAGAATACTGCGTCCAGGCTTGCCCGCCCTGCCTTGTTCGGGACAAAATGGAGCTGGAGAATGTTTTGCGAATGGGTACCGACTTGGTCGAGGGGTTCACGGGGGCAATCCTACTCCGAGCATCTGCTTAGCTTGGGTATGTATTCAATACACTACGCATGGCTTCCAGGAGACCTAATCCTTACGTACCGCAGCTTGACAGGGAAGGTTGGACCCTACCTGCGCGGCCTATACAGGCCGGCTAGGTTGCCTTGTCTTTGCAATCACCCCATGAACCTACACAAGCCGCGTTCTGACAGAATCAGGGCGGGAAATCGGTTTGCGCGTTGTTATGGAGCACTGGAACCCACTTCCAGAAATTGTAGGCAGTGAGCCCGCAGTTAATGGTTTCGATCGTTAGTTAGACGCTCTTCGCTGGCAACACGAAACCTTTCCCTTCTCCTGACCATAACTATCTTCCAACTTTTAGTTCGTGTTCCGTCATTCTCTTCCCTCATTGGTTTTATCCTTCATTTAAATGACTTTCATTCCCATTTATCATCCATTTTCTTTCTACTTCTTTCTTACCTCACGTGACCTACACTGTGGTCGACTAGTGCAGGGAACATGGCAGTAAATGTTGGCCAGTATGTGCTTCGGGTGTTTCGTTTTAGATGTATCAACCCTCCAAAAACTTATCATTTCCTTGCTCAACTATCCGCTCAAGAAGGTACACTCAAGGGCTTTTCCTATCGTTTCAGTCCTGGTGTTTCGAGGGTTATTGACAGTGGTTGTAACCTTCACAAACGGAAGTCACCTTTGATACTGCTTTTGGTGGATGTTGCGGGTCTTAGCATGATATCATGGTAATTGAAATTCCGTACCCTGAAAACGAGAGCTTCCGCACGTCACCGCACAAACGCATGCCGCACAAGGAGGGCGACTGCTGGTGGAGATGCGGTTTGCGCTCTGCGTCAGCAAGGGGCTGATGACTCCGGGAGCTGCAAGCAAGTGGATTGCATAATTTGCGACGTATGCGGGCGTTGTTTCCATCAAAGTTGTGCGGGATACCATGGTGAGGCGGCATACACATGTCTGCACTGCTGCTGGCAAGTTAAATTTGATGTGCATGACGTTGCGGTTCTTTAGAGCTTCAAATGACGGCAAATTGAGCGTTGCCTCATAAACCTTTTCGTTGGGATTTCCCTTACAATCAGTACGTGTGAACGTTACGTATTTGCAGATGGATTGTACTTACCGTGCAACCTGTACGCCGACCGCATACGTCATGCGGATAAGGCTTAAACACCTGTACTGCCACTTGAAGCACCCGTTCAGAGCTCGACTGGCCCACATTGAACGGCCTTAAGCAGCACCTTGTGAGGGGTAGTTTGGCAAACACGCCGACACGGGATGGGACGCAGAGAACACAACTGCTCAGCTACGAAACCCCAAGCGTCCCGGGGCGTACGGGATCCTGCCTGAAGAATCGAACCACAGCGGACCCAAGTCTTTGACTTCGCTGTACCGCTTGGTGCAACGGCTATGGATTGTGGAGGCGGTCGCTTCCGAACTGAAGGATGACCTTGTGCTACCACTGTACAGGGGCACATGGACCTCGCAATGTTACGCGCATTATCGTAGCATCAACGTGCGGAGTTATGTGTGGTGATTACCGTATTCATGCTAACCCGCCTCGTCAGTGAGGTTGTGGAAAGTAACGCGACGGATGATCAGTCCACCCGGCCGCTTTTCGAGGTGGTCGTTAATTGTGCGAAAGGCACGACCGACCGTCATAGCACTCAGGTATCGACAGTTGATTTGCGCTCACTCTGCTACTGTCTCCGCAATTGGACTTGCATATAGCGTGAGAGACTGGCGCATAAAATTGGTGGATTTCAAGAGCTGTTAGCGGAAATCGACGGTTGAGATACCTGGCCCCTTAGATAAGGAGATATAAAGAGGCTAGTCATGTTCGACCATCGGTGTCTTCCCAGTTTGGCTCACATCTGGTGGGAATACCGCGTGAGCAACGAGCATATTCGACGCCTTGTTTCTGGCACAGGAAAAGGAACTGAACCGCTCTGCAACGTCATTTCACGTACCATGCTGCGATGCCTCGGCCACGCGTTGCGCATGCCAGCCTACGA